AAGAGAATTTTTTTGCAATTAATGAGCGAGTTTCGGTGTGGTTTCATGGGTCATTGAAGGGAAGAACAAATGATCCATGGCAAGCCGCACAAAATTTAGTTGTGTTGCAACCGTGCAAGGCTAGACTACAACAGTCTACAGAGAACGCGTTCGTCGGCTCGTCTGTCTACCTCTCCAAATGCTCTTCCTCAGCGACTGTGGTGAAATCGCAGGAACGCGAACATCTGCCAGCAAAGTAAGACGTGAACGCGAGCATCTGTAGGTGGTTTATGGGCCTGGGGTTTTCGCGATGAACGTGGCGACGGCTTCGGAAATCGATAAAGCACATATAGCGAATGCATGCAGGAACACACATTGAACTAGTCATATCATTCGATCAGTGAACTGTGCTTCGACTACGCGGATGAACAAGCATACTCAACCAGCTTTTGCTCGCATAGCCAGGTGCAACCGAACGAAGCATAATTCATTGATATACTATGCACGTGTCATGTATACTTCCTCAAACTTCTTTTTGTTGAATGGCTGTCAGCCATTTCACAGAATGAGCTGAGCACCTTGGCATTTACACTTCAAAGTTCTTGTAGGTGCGCTTAGCGCGATTTTGGTGTCGTAGCGCAAGCTACGTCTACGGTGTAGTCAAACACAGTTCATACCACACCTTCCACCCCCGCGCCAACATGCAGCTGCTGCAAAGCGACGGGGGAGAAATGCCTGGCCGCAGGAAACAACATGGCGCTTGTTGCCATGGCAACCAGGGTGGGCAACAATATTTTTTAAGGGGCGGCGGTAAGTAGTGGGTTAAAGCATGGAGGAAGGAGGAAGGAAAAAGTTGTTCCTTCCTCCATGGGGGAGGAATTGACGTCATATTCGTGAAGCCGCCACATGGATGGATGGATTGGTGTGGCTGAACCCTTTAGATCCGGCGGTGGCCAACGCCACCTAGCCGTGATAATTAGTGAAATAACAACTACATGTATCTTCTTTTCCCTTTATATAGTGAAGTTGAGGACTGGCATACTTTCCAGTGAATGACTTAATTTTCTCTCGCACCTTGACTTTATCCACCAATCAGATAACCTCCTTCTAGTTATTCTAGCCGCTTTAAGTCTATTTTCCCTCCCTGTCCCTAAACTTCTGTGCTTTGAGAAAACTGCGCACCAATATTATGAACTATAGAGTGAAGCTCTTCACAGAACATTATCAAAATTTTGGCAGTTTCTTCCTCCTATCCGTTTGCACTGCATACCGTGTGCAGCCAGATATGTATTGGTTCGCACTACTCTCGTCCTGGCCTCAAACAGTAGACAACCACCCCGAGTAATATCATAGATCCTTTCCTTGGAAATTTCCTGCTTAAAAGCTCGATAGATCTCTAGCGCGGACTTCTTGGTCATGCGGATGCTAATGTTGACGACGTACGATGAATGGCGCCCACCCACAGTGGGAGATGGGCCAAGATCCCGGTGGCAGGATACTGATATGGAATTTAAATGAAAGAAAGCTATTCTGAAAATTTAGTTTAGAGATATTCATGCCGATTCTCCACATGTCAGTTTTTGTTTCCTTCACCTTCTTCTTAAGCGATAGTTCTTTTTGTTTTGGCCACCTGCTGTTTTCTATGTGTTTACCCGTCAATGTTTGGTTCACTTCCTCCATTTTGTATCCCCATCCCTAATGTACAAGTAGCTCAATACCTTCGTAGCCCAACGGTTCTCCCCCAGTTCTCTCAATCGCTTCTCAAATTTTACCTTGCTGCTAGCTTCCCTGCCCTCAAATGATGTCCATCCCATATCACTTTGTACTCGCTTATTTGGTGTATTGCCGCGAGATCCTAGAGCAAGCCTACCTAATTCACGTTGTTTAATTTCTAATCTAGCTTGAACTTCTTATCTCATGCTCAAGATCGCGTTGCCGAGTGTCAGACCAGGAACCATGACCCCTTTCTATATTCCTCTCACAACATCATACCTATTGTATTTCCACAGTGCCCTATTTTTTCCACTGCTGCATTCCTGTTACCTATAGTCGTTACGTATATTTCGGGTTCCCTTATATACTCGCTCCCATTGCTCATCCATACGCCCAGATATTTGTATTCATTCGTTATCTCCAGCGTGACCTCCTGTATTCTGAGCTCACTACCTTCATTATCATTAAAAATTATGACTGCTGATTTTTTCTTACTGAATATGATATCTAACCTATCTCCTCCCTCAAGACCGCAGATGTACATCAATCTCTGCAAATCTTTCTTGTTGTCTGCCATTAGCACTATATCATCTGCGTACATCAATGTTGGTAGTGCCTGTTCAATGAGTTTTCCTTGTTTGACGAAACAGAGGCTGAAGCCAAGTCCACTTTCCTCTAATTTGGCCTATAATCCTTGTAGGCACATCATGATAATAAGGGTGACAGAGGACACCCCTGCCTAAGCCCCTGTTTTACCTTTGTGGGCTTGTATACCTGTTTTCCCCTTTTATAACTACCTCGCTACTTTTATGAATATCCTTTAAAAGTTTAGTGACTCCTTCTTCCACAGCTAGCGTGTCCAGTATTCCCCACAAGTTCTCTTGAACCACGCAATCGTACGCTCCCTTAATATCCAAAAATGGTAGCCCCAGGGGCCTGTGTTGCTTTTCTGCTATTTCGATGTACTGCGTCAGTGAGAACATATTGTCTTCCAACCTCCTGTGTCTCCGAAACCCTTTCTGCAGTTCCCCAGGCACACCCTCATCCTTTATCCATGCCTAGAGTCTTTCCTTTATAATCCGCAGCGCCAGCCTGTAGACAACTGATGTCAGCGTTATGGGACTGTAGTTGTTTATGACAGTTTTGTCCCTCTTTTCTTTATAGATCATGCTTATCCTGCTGAGTTTCTAGTCATCAGGGACTTCTTCATCGATTATTGTTTTGCCCACCGCTCCTCTCAAAGTCTGTTTAGACTCAGGAGCCAAACTCTTCATCAGCATATTTGGAATGCCATCTGGGCCTGTTGATGTACTTCTGGGAACCCTCTTCTCAGCCTTTTCCCACTCTTGTTGTGAAAATGGAGTCATTGCGCTACTTGATCCCTCCTTGTCTTTTATGGTGCATAAGGCACTTCTTTGTTGAAAATTTTCTCTCAAATATCCACACTACTTCCTAGTGGAGAAGCAGATAAGCACTTCGCGATTTCCGGCGAGCAGCCGCTGCAGCGGCCTTGGAAGCGGTGTTCTCTGCCAGCAGCGAATCAATCGACGAGTGGTTCTTCTTTTGCGCGTTTTTATTCTTTAGAAAAGATGTGGGATGCCCAGCTGTAGCGTATACTCGGTGCGATTTGCGTGCACCGCCAGATTCACATTTTGACACTTTTCATGTATTTTCGCTTTACTGTTGATAGAATTTGCATGCCAAGCTCTCAGCTGTATGCTCCATTGGTTCTTACTCATTGTGTCAACTGAGAACAAACGCGAAATATTGTTTTTAGTGTTGTAGGCATCGTGTCACGTTTTTGAAGTTGTGTCACGGAAGGACAATAAAGTTTTCTTGTTACCGGACAAAGTGTGTATGCATTGTACGGTGTGCGCTTGCTGCGTGTTAGTTGTGTGCGCACTGGAAATACACTGGTTACGGGCACGATCACGTATACAATACAGCTGTGTCTTCTTACCGACGTGAAGTAGGTCAAGAACTAGGCTTGCGTTGCACGGAATAGCTAACAAGCAAGCTCTCAAAATCGTGCGTTGCCACACTGACACTATATACGAGCAAAGAACTGCTCATCAGCCCGTAGATCAGACAATCTGGCTAAGAGAGAAAAACAAAAAGGTCTTGCAGCGAGCAGAATGCGTAAGTCACTGCCGGGTGAGTTCAAATACGGTGATGCAGGGGCTGAATGATTTTCATTACGACACGCACCGGCGCTTTCTGCGCCGTTGCACGAAAACCCCCCACGAAGTAGTTCGCCACGCCACGCTCTGGCCTGCCGCGCACAAACAGTCGAGGAAAAATGTACTTGAAACATTTTACTGCATGCAAACCATAACATACGCGTCAAACTAACGCCGGGACTTTAGAAGGGAAACAGCGCTGAGAGAACGCCACGGAGGTTCTGCTGTTTTGTTTGCCCCATACCGGTTTGTTTGCCCATATATTTGACGTCCCTTCCGCCACACTACTCGCAGTTCATTGGGATACAATAGAGCCTTTCCTTAGTTTTTTCTTCCTCCAACGGTCAAAGGCTGACACCACAATAAAACACGAAGACGCGCGCACACGAAGGCTCCCAAACTAAAATTGCATGGTGCTTCCGCCTACCTCTGGCTTTGCAATCTAGAAAGCGTGCGTTTCTTCAAGAAACTCTTAAATTGTGCCCATATCTCACACTGCCGAAGTTCATTGAAACAACTAAAGTAGCACCGTTCATGTCAAAGTGCATGTTCCTTCCCTCCCCTGTGCTAGTTAGCCTTGGTAGTGCAAGTGCCATGTTGTTTGTTCTCAGTCACGTGTGTTTCATTTCGCTTCTACAACACCACCGGCCTAACCACCCCTGTGCGCCAGGAGAGGGTGTGCCTCTGCACTGCCGGATTCGACTCTCCTCGAAGCGGAGGACAGAGTCGAGTCCGGCCGTGACCTGTGTCACTAGCTTTCTGCTAGACGTCTTAGCGGCGCTGCTGCAGCTCCTGATAAAGGGCGCAGAGGTGAGGGAGCGTGGGTTTCGCTTCTATAATTTTTTATAATCTTTAACGAAGCACCTACTCGTAGATTTGCTCGCGCAGAACGTCAAATAAACCTTTTATGCTCTCGCTAAAGACCAAAAACAATCGTCTTTTTGTGACATTTGCCAGTGAAGCAGGTGGATACGCTGCATATTTTTTATAGTTCTCACCAATAGTGAAATAATGACGTCAACATTAGTGATAATTACGTCGTGACATTACGTCACCAGAATCGGTGACATCACAATAACGCCATATGACTACGAAACTTCACATTGCATCGTCGTCATTTGAATGCAGGTGAGCCCTTCGCGGAGGCCCTGTCAAAGAAGGCGAGGTGCAGAAGCGAATCAAGTGTTTGACGAGGACTTGTGGTGGTGTAGGGGTCCGAGCTGGACGCCGAGGGCAGCCTGCAAAAAATGACTATGCCTGACTCCGATGAGGGGTCACGATAACATGAAAATTTGTTGCATGCCTGGGGCATGCCTACAGAGAAAACATTCATGTGACGAGTGACGTGAAAGACAGAGAAAGTTTCGGAAATAAAGGTGACTGCGCTTGAGAAGGCGGACGCATGATACGTAGCATAGCGCTCTCACCAAGCTCGCCTGATCAGCCCTGCAGGCATAAGTTTTCGTGGTAGTCATGTTCTTCTGTCTGCTTTTTCAATATTGTAGAATAATAATAATTGTTAACGTGAAGCACTACCATATTATTATGGGAGATGCTGTACGGTAGGGCTCCGGAAAACTTCGACCATTCCGGGTTATTTCACCTACGCATAAAGCACCCGAATTTCAAGTGTTTTCGCCTACATCAAATTTAGCGAACTTAGTGGCCATGCTGTGTCGCTCGAAACGTTTATTCCGCAGTTTCTTTTGTCTTGATTTTGGCAAATGTCGGCTTTCAAATCGTTGTTCCCGCACATAAGAACATTGCGTTGGAAATGATTTGAATGTTGGCGGATTGGGCTGATTGGTATTTCATGATCAGATACGCATTAGAGTTATACAGCGAGCTGAGGAGGTGGCGACCAGACACGGCCTGATGGTCGTTCCTCTGTGAAGTTTTTTTTAACCTAAATAACGTTGTTTTTCTCTTTATTTCTAGCGGCGAGGCAAAGGTATGGGATGAGGATAGAAGAGACGCACGCAAGCGCTAAATTTTAACTGAGCTTTATTGTGAAACGAAAGAATTATAATGTGGCCAACAGAACGAGTAAAAAGAGAGACGTAACCAAATTCGAACTTCTCACTTTTAGAAATGAAAAAAAGTAGCAGAATACCCACGTAGGAAATGATCAGTGGCGCGAAGCGTCCGTTGGTTCATCCACCCGTCCGTGCTTTCGTTTGAGTGTCTGTCCGTGTTTCCGTCCATGCATCCGTCCGTACTTATATCCGTACTGTGCGTCCGTGCTTCCATCCGTCCGTGCTTCCACTCATCCATGCTTCTGTTCGTCCATCCCTCCATCAGTCCATCCATCCGTCTGTCAGCCTGCCTGTCTGTTCACCTGTCCGTCCACCTGTCTGTTAGTTTGATTTTCCGTCGATCCATGCGTCTGCCTGTCTGTACATCTGTCTGTCTGTCCATGCATCCACCCGTCTGCGCATCCATCCATTCGTATACACACAACGCCATTCACGGAGCATTTCATAAACTAGAGGTCACTACATACTACCAGCACTACTACTGCTAATACTACTACTACTATAAAGGAGATCATGATCTACAGCCTAAGGAAGGAGCTTCACCACCACTCTAAGCCAAAACGGAGCAACGAAGGTATATGGGGTCGCTCCTTTCAGGGAGCAATTGCATTGCCACTCCCAATACTCCCCTAAAAGGAGTAACTGCAGAGGAACGAACCGTTGCTCTCCTTTCAGTTCCTCCTTCGGGGGATGAACAGTTACTCCCTCCAGTTGCTTCCTGCGGGCCAACAGTTACTCCCAACAGTTGCTCCCCGAAGACCAACCATTACTCCGACCAGTTGCTCCCCTGGTCGGAGTAATGGTTGTTCTTTACCGTTCCTCCCGCGTGTTCGCAGTCACTCTCTGAGGACCAACTGCACATGCTTCCAGTTACTCCTTGAGAAATGTCTATTTATCTCGAGTATGCTTGTCACACACTTAACACATGGCGAGAGCTCCTTGGAAGAGCACTTCTTGGGTGCTTCCGACACAAAAAGTGGACAATATGAAAGGAAAAGAAATGCTTTATTGTTTTTTTAGGCGACGTGTGAGCACACGCAGAAGTAGACTTCGCCACACCACAGCCAGCACTCAACAAGCGCCATAATACATCAAATGTTTTCTGCGTCTTCCGTGAAAAAACTATCTAGAATAGGGCAGTCTGTGTCATCACTGGTGAGAAAAGGGCAACTTTTCCAATTCTGAAGGACTCAAATTTCGCAGCTGGTGTTTCCATCAGGCTAGCACAGCGAATGTCACCACAGGCATATGTGAAGCATCTTATTGCTGCAAGAAAAAAATAGAAGTGTGAGGTTTAACATGCCAGAATCAATACATAACAATGAGTCACACACACTGCAGCAGCGCTTACATTCTAGGATGTCTACTGCAAAACGAAATGTGAAAAAAATAGTAGGTTCGGCCAAACGTTACTTGGCAAGCATTATGAATGCTGATGTGGTAGACGCTCTCCACATGATGTCTCTGATAGCCATACTCTAGAAGAAAATGTGCAGCACATTAAGAAGGCATATTTGTAGCAGTTAAAGATACCCTTAGGTTCCGTGAACTTGTTTGCTATACACAGCTGAGTGACATTTCTATGAGTCAATTCACCAATAGGCATTCTGAATGAGATCATATGTGTGGCAAACAACATGTACCGTCTGCTCATGTTAAAATACATATTTAGCTCGTGCACACAGTTGCTGTCAATTCTACTGTTCTAATATACGCTGCTGCGTCTTGAATTGTGCAATACCTGTAGGCACAAGCCAAGCATGCAAAGCCTGCTTGAAATCAACCATTTACAGAGGCTACATGATAATCTTGAGTATATTTTCTTGTACTTGACGCAAACGACTGGACAAAACTATAGACAAATAAATGTATACCAGGCTAACTTCAAAAATGCTTTGAATTTAGGAAACTAGGGTGCACTTGTTCTTTGGGGGGACACTAAGTGGCGTCGAGCAGATCGAACGCGTTTGTATTGGCTCCTCAAAATTTTGGCTGTTTTTGCGTTAAACTTCGTGGCTTCTTTAGAGCAAACGCGGAGTGTGTCTTGAAATATTACGAGATCGATTTGACACCAAATCATTGGGACAACAAGACTGATTTCTTCCCTTCTGAAGTGACCATGGACTTGGCAAGCCCGGCCGCCAGGCTAGGACTAGTGGTGGACCGGGGAGTAGATAATCGACTACCAGCAACTCTCCTGGGAGTGTCAATGCAGCAGCCCAACGGACGACGACTAGGTAACGGCAAAGGAAGCCATGGACACGGATGATCAAGATTTGAGCACAGAACTGGGCTCTGCAGAATTATTTGTTAAATACTCTCTATCGTCTGACGAGGCGATACAAGTGGAGTCAGCCAGCGGCGACGCGAGCGAACACCCTGAAGCATCAAAGGGAGCCGATGACGAGGCGAAAGACGGTCAGTGGCAGCTTGCTCTTTCAATACGCGAACGTAAAAGACTAAGGAAGCAAGAGCGGGCCATAGAAGATCCCAGGCAAGTTGGTGATTTTCAGCAAACTTTATCACTAAGTCTTACGAAAAGAACAACTAATGACTTAGCATCTCTGGCAGAGAGCAGCTTCAGAGACAGCAAGAGGAACGCCGGTGGCAGTTACGGAACGCCTGAGCGGGCGCACGGGAGTAGACGCAACGCGTCGGGTGCCATGAGAGGCCGCCGACGCTCACGTGTGATGCCTCTACCCAAGAATGATATGAAAATTATTAGATGACCCAAACCCGGGCTCGTGGTGAGAGACTTAAAACATATGAAGTGGCACGAGCGATTGAACGTGCATGTGGAGACGCGGAAATATGCAGAGGTGACAAATTCCTGCTGCGCCTCCGGAACGGATCCAACATTACCATTGCAAGTACTCCTCACGAGCACATCGCTGAGCAAATTTTGAAAATCAAGGCGCTCGACCTCAAGAACACCAGACATCTCGTGAACACCAACATTTCTACACCCGAGGGGTTTCTCAAGAGAGTTGTGCATGGACTGGAACGTGAAACACCGGAAGAAGAACTTCTCAACAACCTAAGAGTACGCACACAGGGCGTCACAATCGTGCAAGCACGCATGTTGGGAAAATCTGAAACGGCAATGATAACCTTCGATGGACCCATTGTGCCACGTTTTGTGTATTACCATGGTGGTGAGATGCCACGTCTACCATACCAATCCACAATACAATACTGTAAACTGTGTAAAAGCCAAGGCCACAGGACTGACGTCTGTCCAACACCAACTGTGAATGTTTGTGGTGGCTGTAGGCTTGAAGACCCTCCAAAGGACCACGAGTGCGTTCCCGAGTGTGCCCTATGTGGGGCATCATCCAACGGCGGCAAAGAAATGCACTAAAAGGCTTAAGAAAGTCCCCCAACGAGGAAAAAAACAGGTACAGCAGCTTAGACACGAAAATGGACAACGATCCCCAGGAATACTGAAGCGTCGGTGGTTCAGCACCGAAAGGCAGGATATAGATTTAACGGAGGGGTCAGCAGTGGCGGTGGCAGCGGCGGCGGCAGCGGTGGCAGCAGCAGCAGCAGCAGCAGAAATTCAGGGTAAGCTGGGCAGCAGCAGCAGCCTCCCAGCACACACACAGCTCGCGTGACTCGAGCGAGAACTAGAGTAAATGCGTGTAAGAATGGGGGATTTAGAAAGAGGAAATAGGCAACTTGGAAGCCAACAAAAGCAGCAGCAGCAACAACCACAAGAGAAACCCACTCAATCTTCTTCGGCAGGACAGCAGCAGCAACAGCAAGAAAGCGTATCAATATTGAACGGGGATACTGTGGTCACGATAGCTATTCTGAAAGACGCCGTAAAAGAAATAGTTCCCTCCATCGTCGAACAGGTCATGGGGCAGGTAGACAGAAAACTCGACGTGTTGGAAAAAAAATTCAAGCGCAACAGATAGAACTCATGAAGGCGTTGAGAAAGCATACCAATGGTAGCCACATAAGGGAAAAAGCAGATAAGGCATACAACAGGCCGGGCCTACTTAATATGACACAAGAAGCTACTGACAATGCATTAGCGACTAAGAAAAACTACGGAAGAGTGCAACATATGGCAGTGGAACTGCCGGGGATTCTGACGAAAAAAGGAACAGCTTTCACAGCAGGTGGCCATGCAGCTGAGGCCACCTGCAGTGATAGCTCTCCAAGAGGTAGGAATAAGGCCAAGCATGCAGAGCTATGACACTCATAGTGAAGCTGTGAATAATAACAACGAATGGAGGGTGGCAACATTAGTCCACAAAGCCATAACCGCAATACAGCATAAACCAATAGAAGGAATCGAAATCCCACATATAATTACGAAAATTCTATATATAAAGATAAGAAAAAGAAA